AACATGCCACAGTATGTCAAAAAAATTCATTTAAAAAAAATCGTAGCATAGTATGTCAAAATCTCATTAAAAAAGACTTATAGTACATCTTGAATTTTTTTTCAAAAACAGTCATGGTATAGTATGTCAAAAAAATTATTTAATAAAAGTCATTGTATATTATGTCAAAATTTCATTTGAAAAGCCATCGCATAGTTTATCATGAAATTTCCTTAAAAGTCATAGTGTAGTATGCCATAAAATTTAATTTAAAAAAGTCAAAGTATTGTTTGTCAAAAATTTTCCTTTAAAAAAAAGTCATAGTACAGTATGTCAAGTTTCATTAAAAAAGCCATAGTATAGTTCACCATAAAATGTCCTTAAAAAAAAATCATAGTAATGTATGTCATAAAATTTAATTTAAAAAAAAGTCATTGCATAGCATGTCAAAATTTCATGAAAAAAGCCTTGGTATAGAAATTTTCTTAAAAAAAAAAAAAAATCATAATATAGTGTGTCAAATTTCATTAAAAAGCCATAATACAGTATGTCAAAAAAAAAAATTGTTTTAAAAAGTCATTGTATAGTATGTCAAATTTCATTTAGAAAAAGCCATAGTATGGTACACCATAAAATTTCCTTAAAAAAAAAACTCCAAAATATAGTATGTCATAAAATTTCATTTAAAAAGCCATAGTATAGTACATCATGAAATTCCTTCCAAATTATGGTATAGTATGTCATAAAATATAATTTAAAATAAGTCATCGTATGAAAAAAACAAAAAATAAATCATTTTAAAAGTCATAGAATAGTATATCAAAAAGGTTCATTTAAAAGCTTTAGTATAGTACAGTATGACATTTTTTTTTTTTACAAAAAATCACTATAGTATGTCATAAAATTTAATTTTAAAAAGTTTTAGTATAGTGTCATAAAAAATAATTAAAAACAAGTCACAGTATAGTATGTCAAACAATGTCATGTAAAAAAGCCATAGTATAGCACACAATAAAATTGAATAAAAAAAGCATAGTACATCATACATTTTCATTTAAAAAATGTACTAGTAAAGTACGTCATAAAATTTCATATGTGTGGGTGTTTGTGTATGTGTGTAAAGTCACAGTATAGAATGTGGTAGAAAAAAGTTATGTATGACATGAAAGTTACTGGTTGCATGACAACTAGTGGCACCTCACAAGTCCTGCAGTAACTTCATTCTATCATAAATGCTAGTAAAGTAATCAATATTGGTGGACAAATTTGCACTTTGATGTGGAATTTAGATGGAAAAGATATTTTGTTTCATGTGTGCACTTTTCCTGTGCAGCCCTCAATTATATGCTGACTCCCCCAAATGGTACTCAGTCATTAAAACTTTGGGAATACAAAATGCTTTAAAATGGTCAGTTTAGCTGTCGAGTTTCTAAAAAATTCCCCTGGGGGTGGCTGGAGGGTTGAGCCGTGCCATTGTTGCAGTAACAGCTTTAAAAATGCTACAGAAGCTCACTTGGGTACTTAAAATAAAAATAAAAATCTTCAGTTAGGGATTTATTAGTTTATTTAAATCACTCAGAAAAATCACCTGAAAAATGAATACATTCCCTTTGTTCAAACAAAACAAATTATATCAATCAAGTATACTTACACTAATAATAATAATTACAAGCGCAATCATACCTACAATTACTACCATTATAAATAAAACTACCAACATTAAACATCCACCATACAACATCAGGGGACTGGAGGGTATGGCTTATCCATGGGGCATGGCTTATTTCAAAAGAAATGTCAAGTAAATTAAGGTATTACATCCAGTAGGCCCGATTCAAGTCAGAAATCCCACCAACTATATATATTTGTGACACAGTAGATCAATTGTGCAGAATAATAGCTGCCAAGAAAAATACTTTGTTTCATTCTATAATGATATACATCCATTTTAGAAACATAAATATGTCGATAGATGTTAAATACCCTTATTCAAAATACACAAGATATTTCATTTCATTTATTAGGTCCCGCTTTAGCTGCAGTAAAGTGACTGCTGTTCTCCCCTGGGTCAATAAAGATTCATACATCTTCTAAAATCTCAGGATTCTGTAAACAGAAAGCACGTCTTCAACAGTAACTTCCATAATATTTCTCGCCAAGATTTGTTACGCTGGAGCGTTTGTCATATTTGTCACATTTTTCATTTGGGCCAAGAAACCAAACTCTTGTTCCCTTTTTATGTAACAACTAATGCAAGAGAAGGCGTGAGTGACACTATTTCTATGGATGAGATGTGGGCAGGGAACCAACCAAAATAAAAGCAGAGTAGTTGCCTTAGCATGGACCCATCTTTTCAAGTTAGTTTTGAATTGTATTTAGCTTAAATGGTCACTTGCCAAAGATTGTGTCTCAATATTTTTGTGCATTTGGCATTGAAGATATCAAAAGTTCTTACTAACAATATCTCTGTGTTCCTTATAACACCTGAGAGTCTGACAAATACCTGGAACATCTCATCCTGTAATTAAAAGGAGATTTGTATGGTTATAATGGTAACGGCACTTAAATACAATAGTAAACAGGACAAACTGTGATGGCAAAAGTTATATATAGCAAATCCTAAAATAGCAATGAACGAGCAACCAGGAAAGAAAATTATAACTCTTGGTTAGCATTGTCTCTTAAATAAATGGAGGTTTTTTCTAGCCATATGGAATAAAGTATCCTCTCAGGTTGTGGTATGAAGATTTCAGAGGTAGCACACCGTACCACTGCAGCTAACACAAAAAAAAAAGTTTCAAGAATACATGGGCATATCATAAATTTTTATATCTTTATAAACATCTGTCAGATTATGGATTGCAACTTCTCATAAAATGAAAACAGAAGTGCAGTATAACATTTCAAAATACTGTATTGCAATGCAGGCCAAATAAATAAAACGCATATTTCAAAAGAGTACTTAAAACTGCAATCCAGTATTGTTGAAAGCACCACTGCTGTTTTGGTTACACAAACATAGGCGAGATACTTTAAGAATTTGTCGTATTGTTCCACAGAAATGTGCTATGCTGGGAAATTATTCAGCTCTCATCCCATGAACGCAGTCACGCCATAGCACTGTAGTTTCTGGATTGCAGCATTAAGAGTTAATAATATAAGAATCAGTTTTTACCACAAGTTCAACATGCCTGAAGGCCTACCCTTGATTTGAATACATTTTACATATAAGAATAGATATACATTAAGCTATTTTATACATTTCTGGTAACATAAACATATAACTTTGTATCATTTGATATTTATCTTGAAAGAAAATGTCTTTTTAAAGGCAAGAGGTTAAGATAAATTATATCAACCATGAAATCTGTAATATAAATGATTCTGACTAACATACGGAGTTAACCAACACACTGCTTATTAATTCATCACCTGACTACAAAAAAAGGACATTTAATATACAAAGTGTACAAGTTTTTTTGTATTGGCATTATTTTGGGCCCTGTGGCACAGACTGTAAGGCAGTCAAATCCTATGCACATATACTACATATCCCTGCTTGGAAACTCTTTATTGTTCTGTTGTTTTCACTGTCTCGCCTCTTTTTGTTGTCCAGTCATTTCTCTCAGTACTTTTTATGTTGTATAATGCAAAAGGCTGAATGCCACCCTCTTCTGAAAAAAACGGAAGAGTCAGCAGGTTGGATAAAAAAAGATGCCTTCCAAATAGAAAGCCATGTCAAAGGTAATTTTTTTTTGTACATTAGAATAATATCTGACAACAAATCGACTTACTCGTCCTCGCATTTAAAAAGCACATGCAGAACTGTTGCACATCTATGCTTCAGAAACATTAAACACAACAGATGAGTAATTCACTACTTGCTATAATATGATTTGTTTCCAGTTGCACGTGTTTATAATCATAGTTATTAAAAATGTATTCATACAGCACTTTTCAAACCAATGTTACAAAGTGCTGTACAACAAAACATGAAAAGGCTAAAAAGATAAATAATGAGAATGGCAGACATGAAGGCCATGATTTTTTAGAGCTCTTCAGGTTGATTCATGACTTTTGAGGCTTGGTTAATTTACGCTTTAGACCAACACTGTCTCTCAGATGTATCTGTCAAAGAGACAACCATTTATTAAGAACTGTCAACTAAAGCTGAGCCCGGCTGCTGCTGAGAAGCTTCAGCTGTCATTATCGTCTTTCAGATATTTCAGATAGCAAAACTTGTCTTAAAGGAATACCTCACCCCCCAAATGATCTGTTGTATATCAGTTACTCACCTCATGTAATGTTGAATTCAGGCAGAAAACTTTGGCATTCCTGCCAGCCTCCACAGTGAGCAAAGAATCCAAAATACAGATGATATCGTTTTGCTGTTTTTAAAGATGGACCCCAGTGACTTCAATTCATTAAGTATTTTCTCTGTTTATGGATTTTCGTTCACCATGAAGGCATGCGAGACAAACAGTTTTCTTCCCAAATTCAAAGTAGCAGCTGATCATCGGGGGCTTAAGTGTTCCTTTACAGACAATTATAAATTGATGTAGTTTGTTTTCTGTAAAATTGGGAGGGGCACCCCAGTGAGTTAGTACTGCACTTCCATTAATTTAGAGGCCTCGTAAGACACAGATAATAAGGTCCCGTTTATACGACGACAATTTCAACCAAAAACTGTAAACTTAAGTTGCGTTTTGGCTGATCGTTTACACAACAGCAGCGTTTTGGGTGCCTAATAACGCAACGTTTTTGAGAACGGGTTCCACAGTGCAATCTTTTGAAAACAGCACCGTCTCCGTTGTCATGTAATCTTGCACTATGCAGTTCCTCTGAAAACGCAGACTTTTCGCACATGCGCATTACAGTTCCAGTCACTAGGCACGCGCAAGAAAGTTGACCATCACAACAACAATGGCGGACTCCTGAGCTCTGTTTGTGCTGCTCACCCTGTGAATTTATCAACGCTTCTCCAGCAAAGTTTAGATTTACTGTAGCAACTCCACCTCGTCGTTCATCCAGACAAACGTTTGTGCGGTTGCCATTTTGTTTTTACATCACCGCTCTGTAGAAGGAAGTGCATGTGCTTGGGCGCGTGTTGTTTCATTACGTCACACCACCAACTGCTGGCCTGGCATGTATACTACAGCGTTTTTGGTCATTTTTGCGGATCCGCGTGCACAGCCATTGTTATCAAAACGTTGTTGTCTGAAGGCGGAACTTTTTGCAAAACGAAAATGAGAAACAATTCCGTTTTCATTGGATCGTTTTCGTGTCCTAAAAGGAATGGTAAAAATCTAAGTAGCTAAGGCTAAATATCGGCAATCTTTGACACCATTTACAGCTTGAATCAACATGCAATCTCTACCTGTATTTGGCAAAACAGATGTAAGTGCCAGGTTTAAAAGCGCATGGTCGGAATGTAATCAGATTGGCCAGAACACATCTGTAGGGCATTAGGCTTGTATCCGTACAGTGCTGCCATATTCCTAAGAAGAAAAAAAAAATCAACCAAAACCACAAGTAGTAGCAGTAGCTAGCAAACATACCGATGTTTAAAGTGATTTAGAAATGGAGGACATCCGTCCATGACAATGCAAAGGCCCTTGGATCAGATATCATTTGGATTTGGAGTCTCTCCGCCCAAGCAGAGATATTATCATCTTAGACTTCTCCTCCAGAGCCAATAAAACCTCCTAAGGAATCGTTTTCACAGGCTGTGCTGTAAAATCAGTGGAGTGCCCCTTTAAGTTGAACATTTTCCTAAATTTTCACACGTCTCTTTCATGTCAGGTCTTTTATGAAGCACTTTGTATCACTGTTTTGAAATGTCTTATATATTCTTTATTATGATTAATATTATTATTACAAAGTGAACAAAACACATTATAATGTCAGATTATTTTTGTAAAGTATTTCCATTATTCAAAAGGCTTAGTCGCTTTAAGAAATACTTCTTCTATACACTGAAAGTCAAGAGACTGTTGTTCTGGCTTTACACTGTGTGCCGAAGGAAACTGTAAACAACAGTTAGGTTTCGATTGTATTTAAAGCAGTTAGTTGATTGTAAGATTCATTTGGCATCTATGCAGATGGGATGGCTGTACTATAAAGGATGCAAAAATCATAATGATAACCACCTTTGCAGTGAGAATATGTTACTAAATGATTGATTCAGAATCAGATAGTAATATAGGTCTTTGCTTGGGCCCTGCATCCGAGGATCATAGATGGCAACTGATTTAACAACATGCTTGTTGCTTGTCACAGGCGTCACCATGAGGGGATATTGTGCTTGTAAAAGCCTTTTCTAGATTTCGTTTGCAGCCACTTAAGTGAGAAGTGGGTGTGCTGCTTGTAGCGGGGGAAATCATGAATCCGTCTTCATCCCCAGTGTTTTACGCATCTCTTCTCACGTGTTCCGATTAAATAAAGAAACTCATTGGGTTCAGTATTGCCATTGTTGTGGCATTGGCTTATATTTCAGTCAGAATGTGCAGATGATTGGCTGCACACGTTGGTCCTCACGCTTAACTGATTGTCATGTTCTGGTACAGGCAAAGTTTGTATATGTGCAAAGTTTTGTTTTGAGAACATTGAGATGAAGCCTCCAGTGGTCCTGCTGGATCCACTGCAGTGCTTTTCTTCATGGGTTTTTGTAGATCGGAATCTTCTTACACTCGAGTGACCATCATGACCTCTGGTCAGCTCGAAAGTGGCAGTCAGGATCCATAGCCCTGGTTGATAGACTGAAGGGAGAGAAAGCAGATGGAATTACAACTTCTCCATTTACAGCTTTCACGAGAGCACAAGTTTAAAGGAGTAGTTAGACACTTTGAAAAATATGTTGTTGTTTTTCCTTGCCAAGAGGTAGATGAAATATTCCAAAATATTACTCTCATGTCTTTAACAGTAAATATGTAGCATAGCTTAGCATACTGACTGGAAATGGGGGAAACAGCGAGCCTTGTTGTCTAAAGGTAACAAAATCTGCCTGCTAGCATCATTAAAGCTAACTAGCACTCATTTTGCACTAAAATTAGCACGCAAAATTAGCATGCAAAAAAATTGGCAACTCCTTTTCTGTTGCCAGCAGGTAAGTATGCCTTTCTGTTGTTTTCTGGTGTGTCACATTCAACGTCACAAACGCTTCTGAAAACAGGATTAGTAGGCAGTAGAAAGCTGCAAGGAGGCCAGTGAGGGTGGTTATGTCTTTTTACATCTGTTACTTACTCGGGCCAAGCTAACACGTACACAGCTGTTTCTGAAAACTGGGTTTTTTTCCTCCACACACAGTTATAAAAAAAAATCTCCATCCAAATATCAATATAGTGAAAGAGTATCTACATTTGTGTCATGTAAAAAAGTCCTGTTAGCAAGGTTAGAACCAGCACCATTTTGGTCACGTCCACCATTGCACAAAATGTCACCTCATTTGTGACGCCTCACAAAGGATGTAACTGTGCACACCCTGACATTACAGGCCATTTTCCCTGTGAACACAAACACTGAAAACTGTTTCCTGAAAATCTCCACCTTGGATGGAGACTTAAAAAAGGTCCTTTTTCAGCGACCTGAAATGCTGTGTGCATGTAGGAAAGAAATGTCTTAAAAAATATCCATATACATAACGACTAGGCCTCGGCCTCTCCTTCAAACTTGGCGCAACTAATTTGTGGCGGAGATGACAAAGAGTTGCAGAAGTTACCAAGAGAAGTGACGCGTGTCATAACACTGTGCTGGAAATGAGGTGAAAATTAGCCTGTCCACCCGGGTGTCATGTTTCCATAACTGCCACGGAGCTCGAACAAAAGCAAAAGCAAAATGTTGGGGGTTTCTGTCCAGTGGGAAAGGAGCTTAATTACCACATAATACCATGCTTAATCAATACAAGAAACAAAAGGTATAAAAATTTAAATGAATTTAATTTCTACACCTTTGCACCTACAAAGCCAGGCAAGCTGTTTTCCCCCAGTTTCCAGTCTTTGTGATATATATAAGCAAAACTACAGCTCTAGTGTACAGACATGACAGTGGTACCAATCTTCACATGTATCTCTTGGCAAGAAAGCAAATAGACATAATTCCCAAATTGCTTTACTATTCCTTTAAATCTTAACTCTGTTTTCTGTCTTTGGGAAAGAAAAGACTTTCACACTCTGAAGGAATAGCAGTTCTCAACACTTACTTAGACAATGAGTCCAATAACTGAGACTCAATATCAGGGGAGTGTTTTTTTTGACGATAGTTTGAGCCAAAAGGACGGCTTGCAACCTAATCCTGCTTTACTGCGCTGTAAATGGGGCAGCAGAGTTTGGACATCTCTTCTCCTCACACACTCTTACTTGTTTAAGAAGTCTGCTGTAAAAACATGTACAATCTCACAGCAGACCCTGTGGAGAAACACTTCTATATATGAGTTCTCAAGAGGTAATTTCGTCTGTGTGCTCTTGATGCCGAGCACTGACAGAAAGTGACAGTGTATTTTAACGACAGCAAATGTTTCTACTGAGTTATTTCGGCATAAACACGACACACACACACACACACAGCCTCTTCACCTGCGTCACAATCCAGCCCACATGGTGCATTCACAACGCTGAGCCCTGCAGAATTACTGTGACGCGGCTGATGAGTCACAGTCACGGTTTTCCAGCGATGAATGCGTCCCTGGTATAATAATAATCTTTTTGAGGTAAATAATATTCGGTTTCAGTGTTGAAGACTTGCTATTCCTTCACAGAGATAGATTAACCTCTGCACATAAATTTAAGCTTCATCCAGCTCTTGATTTTTAGGATCATCACTGAGTTTTTGCTCTCCTCTCAAGCGTGTGCAGTAAAATGGTGAAATGCTCTTTCAGACGTGACATAAATGTACTTTTGAATGATGGGAATAGGTGAAGTGTATGACAGCTGCAAACTTTTCCCCCCCTGCACTGCGCTTTGGCAAATGCACTGAATGTGATGTAAGAATGATGCAAGCTGTTTTAGGACATGACTGGTTTAGCAAATAGGGATGATAAAAGATGTAGAGACACAGGCACAAACCTGGTCTGTGAGGATTCGAGGCTTAATATCAGGAATGGCACCCCCTCTCAGCTCATCTTCCACAGCCATGAGTCTGACAACAGGGAAATAGAAACAAACATACCGGTTGACAAAAATAGAATTATGAAGCCGGTGTTCTTCAAAATTTACTGTAGGATTATGTGGCCATATGATGATATTAAGGTCTTGACATGTTCCTGGGTGCGTTCAGCTATCCTCACAGCTTCCTGGAGCTGAATCTGAGCTGCCTTCAGAGCAAATCAGGCAGTTCAAATTCAGCTGTTCAGATGCACAACTTGGGAAGTGAGTGTGTGCAGGTCAGGATTGTTCAGTGAGCACCCATCTGGTGTATCTGTAGTCACAGGAAATGTTTGATTTAACTCAGGGAGGCGGTCTACCAAATAAGATGAGATGTGAGCTCTGTATACTCCAGTTATACAAAACTTTGGCTCTCAGAAATAAATGCAATGTGGTGCTCTCAGCATTCATTTGATAGGAATCCCACTTTGTGCTGTGAAACATTTCCTTCAAGTAAGCGTAGCTACAGTCTGACCCTGTCCGCTTTTTCTGTCCTTGTAATGAAGTTACTTAAAAGACTTACATATTAAAGTATGAGCCTAATGGGTATGATTTTACACTATTAGTTTTGATATTTAAATGAGCAACATTTAAAGGAATAGTCCCGCATTTTGGGAAATACGCTTGTTTGCTTTTTCTTTGAGAATTGGATCAGTACTCTTATGTCTCTGCATTTAAGGTACCCTGTGGAGTTTCTGACCACTATGCTACAGTGCTATGGAACAATGTGCTGATGAGTGTTTCCCTTGTTTTTGTCCTGTTTGTGTTCGACAAGCTTTCGGGCTACAGGTGTTTCCATCCTCCACTGTTATGTGAACATTAGGAAATGGGCGAGTTGATCAAAAGGAGCTTGCAGTTGTTCCAATAGCCCATAATTCTGAAGCCCCAACAGACCACCAATCACCATGACCTCATGGTGACACTTCCAGGTAGACAACTGGCAATTATTTTGAATTGCTGAGGTATAAGAAATCGGCACACTTGTTTGTTTCTGCTGTAAAGCTCAACTGTAACGTTTGAAGATACACAGTTAGACACGGTGGTCTGACCTATGTGACATATCTGCTGCGCTTGTTGTGTGTGCGGTGTTGCTTTGCTAGCGTCTTTGATAAACCAAATCCTCCCAGCATGGAAGTTTAGCTATGTACTGCTGTGAATGGGGGCCGCAGCAAAATGGATTTTTGCCAATTAAAAAGACCCAACTCAAAAAAAAAAAAAAAAAAAATCAAATCAGTTTAAGTGTTTATAATATTTAGATATATATTACCTTACGCTCTAAGTGATCAAGGCAGTGGTAGAAGAGCAACTCTGTGTTCTAAAATGACTGTTTTTGTCAATGGAGTCTGGTGGCTTTCACTAACAGTCACTGATACTTCCTGCTCCTTTTGTAAACATAATGTAGAAACTACTTAATCTTTCCTTTTTTATATGAAATATCCAAAAGATTTTGGATCAGTCTGGAATCTCAATTCTTTGAAACCTCTAATTCAGTTCACTCCTTTAACCTCAGGGATATTATTTATTAGAATAATACAGACAACAGCACTCTTGAATACTGAATTAATTGTGTTATTCTAAATGTATTTTTTTTCTTCCTTGAATTTAAGGCTCTTCTAAAATCACTCAGTTTACTAAAAAAAAAACAACAACAACAACAACAACAAAAGAGTGTCAAGCTTTTGGAAAATTCTGCAATTTCCTTCCAGAATCCTCCGACTGAATACACTTACTATACTGTTTCTTTTTTTGTCTGTTTGTTTTGAAATACTGTTATTTATTTTCTCCACATATACTTATGTTATTCCCGTTTTTTTGTTTTTTACATGTGCTGTAATTAAATACCTGATGTTTTATACATGTTCATTTTGTCAATTAACTTGTTGCCTTTCTTGGTTGCGTTAGTGAGGTTAAGGCATGAGGAATAAGACTGGTTAAAGTTAGCGTAAGAATATCAGGGTAAGCCAATCAGAGGCAGAGTAGGGCGGGTCAAGCCTGCGCCATATGGAGTCATTCTGCGTATTCTTATTCTGCCATTTTCTTGCCCCATTAAAGGGTTTTTTTGGGCGAGTTTTTCCTTATCTTTTGTGAGGGTCCAAGGACAGAGGGATGCTGTAAAGCCCTCTGAGGATAATTGTGATTTGTGATATTGGGCTTTATAAATAAAACTGAATTGAACTTATTAATAATTAGCCATGTGCATCTGTTTGGGAGAGTGTGTGGTGGATTTTTGGATGAATGGCCTGTCTGATTTTGGAATAATAAGCTTCAGAATTATGGGCTGTCAGAACAATTGGCATTGTGCCATTAAAAGAGCGACAGTCAAACTTAAAATGGTGGAAAACAAAGTGGACAATATGATGTAAATATGCGAATGTTTATTTAATGTATTATTTGAGAACGTTACTTTGTCATCGTCACTCCACACAGATCTGATGTTTTAGTTTGCCACCATTTTTCAACTCTTCAGTGGAAAGTGAAGTTGCATGCTTCATGTGCATCATGATTTATGCACTAAGTCTGTTTCACTTTGTCACTTTGCTTCTATTGAAACACCAACTCTTCCACCTCTGTTTTATTTCAAACGCATAAATAAAAATGTGCATAAAAACAGGAGGATATAAACGCATGTGGTGATGCAAATAAACGCGGAAATGCATGGACTTAGATGACAATATAAGCCGTTTACAATCACAAACTCCACAGGGTACTCTTTAAGTCTGGAGCTAAAGCCAGGAGGTGATTAGATTTCCTTTGCATTAAGACTATCAGCACCTTTAAAATTCACTAACAAACATGTACCTCATTTATTTAAATCAAACAAAAGCAGAAATGTTTAAAAAACCATTTGTAACTTTAAGGATTTTTTGTTAAACCTGGACACAGCCAAGATAGCTGTTTCCTCCTGCCTCCAGTCTTTATGCTAAGCTAAGCTAACAGCCTCCTGGCTCCAGCACAGATTCGAGTGCGTCATCTTCTCATTTAACTCTCAGCAAGAAAGCAAATAAGCGTATTGCCCAAATGTTTAACTATTTAAGAACCGATACGTATGGCCGGTGTTGTGCACGTTCACACTCCACAGGAGCTAGCTTAAAGTTCAGTTAACCTCTACTGAACCTCTAGCCTCTACGTTAACTATTTTGCATTCATAGTTCAGACTTTGAATTTTTGAACTAAGTTTATGAACTAGTTTATATTAATTTCTTCCATTTTTAAAATAAAATCATGTGATCATCATCCACTCACAGATATTTCCCAGGTCTCGGAAACTGTAACTTAACGTGTCATTTCAGATTTGCTTCCTTTGTGGCTGGTGTTTTTCCGCTGGACTCTGTACTTATTTGTCCATAAAACTCCGTCAGATATCCATATGAACTGACTTTATTCGTATTTGTAGCTATATTTTCTGAATTGCCAGTTGCACTAACCATTTGAGTGTTGTGTCAAAGTCTGTTCCCCTGCAGAAAAGTGTTTCCCTCTGTTAAAATACGCAGTGCCCTCCTTTGTGGTTAGGCAAAGGAAAAGATCTGGTTCAGATATGGGTACAGCGGAACACATATCAACGGGCTAACAGTCATGGACACTACACTGGCATGCTGGGTGCCATTAGACACAGTGTTATAACTGTTACGAGTGTTAAAGATGCTCTCATTCAACGGATATGTTCAGAATTTGAATTGACGCAACGTCAGACTGAAGATGGAAATGAAGTATAATAATTTGTCAGTTCTGTCTGAATCAGGCAAATGAGCATGTTCATCCAAACACTGCATATGACATCATGCAGGTTATGTTTGAGAGGAAAACTTTTACTTCATGACATCTTGTTAAATATATTTTGTTTAGGAGGGATTGGCATTTGATATGTCCTCCCTCACTAAGCACAGATGTGTTCGTCTAACTTCTTATACAACAGACCAAAAATATTTCTTTAAATTCTCTAAAGACCTTAGTAAAGCTGGTCACCACTTTTAAACACCTGTACCTTTCATACGTTTTCCCCTACAGACGTGTTTAACTACTTTTATGTATCGTTTAGCACTCTAACATTTGCATCCATAACATGCTACACTTCAAGCTTTTCGCTTTATTGAAAATCATGTTTTCTGGTTATTATTTATAAACTTGGCAGAAATTTGCGTGTGACAAATTTGATGCAGTAGTGAAAGCCAAGCAGTAACTGGCACAGCCTCATTTCTGCCAGCTCCAGTTCAACCTGAACACTAATCACCTGTTGATGATGCCTTTGATTTGAGAGTCCTTCTCCACTTGCTGCTGCTTTAGACGACGTTCGCTGTCTTCCAGGCGGTTCTGATACTGCATCAGGATCTTGTTTGTCTGCTGCTCCTGCGTCAGAAGTCTCTGCTCGTATTCTTCAAGCTTGCGATGAGACATCTTCAGCCGCTCTTTCAAGGAATGTATCTCTTCTTCGTACTCTTTAACCTGAAATAAAAATATAATTACCTCACCCGTATTATCAGTTTTATATTCAAGAATGATGAGTGATTTTATCAATATGAACAGGGCTTTGTAGTAGAGCTTTGTTATGCTAAGCTGCAAGTGGGATAGACCAGACAAAGCTGCAGTGTGTGGTCGGCTTAAATATGCAGGATCACAAATTTTAATGCTGTGTAATAAGCACCAGAGCTCTGATTCTCTGCCTGAGCCTGATTGGGCACGACCTGACCTGGTAGGTTCGGGTCAGGCTGGGCTGTAATTTGGTGTGCGTAACATGCAGCGAAGAACCAGGGTCATCATGTGCATGTGCAGTCACTGAATAACTGGCAATCAATATTGTACATTTTGAAGGAATCTCGATGATTGTGATGATTCTGTAATTGGAAATACCCTTGTGAATAAATCCATTAAGTATCTGCGAATATTTATAACCAAAAATCTTATAGTGAAACAACATTTAAATTTCTCAAACAGACTAAAAAAGATCAAGACTATTTTCAGTATTTGGCTTTAAAAGGGATCTGTCCATCATTGGCAGAGGTCTCCTTTCCAAAGCAGAGGGCCTGTCTCGCTTTGCGTATCCATCTTTGTCCTTATTTGTAAATAAATTAAAGCGACACTTACTTTTCTGGAAATTTTACAATTTTCTTTGTTTAGGTTAAAATGCTATTAATAAGCTGATGGCACACTGAAATGTAAGTGAATTCCACCAGAAATAAAAACTCATAATTGTACCATTCTCATAAAGAAACTCCGACCAATCATTGCATTCAGACCAAATGCAATGATTGGTCAGGTACCTGTCTGTCTTCCCCACATGAGGGCCTCCGATTGACATAACTGCCCCCGTAACAACTCATTCATCCTGAGCTAAAAAGGGACGAGATGGTCGCAGAGTTTCTGCTGGACAGGTATTTTTAGTTTGCCTCTAATGTAACATAGGCTATAACGTTATATGACAACACAGCATCCAGTTGCTAATGGCTAACGTTAGCCTACTGTAGCGTAGCCTCTGAAACATTAACGTTATCTTCCTTGTGCGTTTCCACTTACTAGTAACGTTAATGCTACTATCTAACCTTATTCTAAAACTCATCAGTCATCACTGACTCCGGTTGAGTTTTAAAACTCCGGGGTTGCGTTTGACTGTCTTGGTTGCAACGTTACACTCGCTCTCCTCTTCCGTGTATCTAACATTACCTCGCCAACGCCTCATTACGTCTATCATAGACATAATGAGGACACAATGGAGGAGGGGGGAGTAGGTCTTTGGAGGGAGGTGGAATTGCAGGAGGAGGAGGATGGGACTTTGGAGGGAGGCGGGAGTTGTGGATGTTCAAATTTGTGCTGGGTGAAATGCAAGAAAGGTAAGAGTAGCTTTGACCAAATGGTTTAAAAAAAAAAAAAAAAAAAAAAAAAAAAAAAGGCAAGGTGTGAAATACACGGGAGTTCAGGAGAGCTTGCCTCCTCCTAATAAGACATAAGCTGAAATTTTGTGGTGTCTCTAAAATATTGACTTAATGCTATTTTTGATGTATATTTCTATTTTTCTGTATCATCATCATGAATCATGCAGAAATTTGGGCTATTAAAAATATATGATTCACACATGTATTGATTGTATTTCAGTGGTCATTTATGCATCACATATGCTGACATAAAGCAAGTCCACCCTTGCAGCTGTAAATGTTTCTTTGCAGTAAGAGTCACAGTCAGTCCAGAAGAGTTAGCTACACTGAAAACCATGGTATATTTCACACACTGTAAAAAGATGGGAAAAATGAAAATGCTGACCCTCTCTAGTCGTGACTCATCCATGCTCTTGGAGTACTCTTTCAGCTGACCCTCCCGATCCGGCCGCAGGCTCTCGATGTCAGCGGAGAGATGTGGCATGTTGGACACCCAGGCGACGGTCCGTTCATTGAGGGCCGGGGTGTTCAAGGTCGACTGAGAACCCTGAAACAACAATGCCACGGGTGAGTCATGCTTTGAATTCATGTCTTCAAATTAGAAATGCTATATTTGATTTTTGCTGCAGTGACATGAGCCACATAACTGCAGCTAAATTTGTACTTCATTTTAAATCAAAGCATTGCAGTTACAGTGACCTGTTTATTGCCTGGTTTGAGCAGATGCTGCTGTGGCGGCTGCAGTTGTGTCTGTTGAGACTTCTTGGTGTTTTTTGTGGGCGTGTCTGTTGACTCCTCAGCAGCTGCTTGTGGGCCCTGGTTCTCTTTGGCGGAGCTCGTCTGGTAGGGGAGTCCAGGAGCCGGACTGTCCGTCACCGACAGCTGTGTTTCCTGTGGTTGCTGCTGCGTCTGCTGTTGCTGCTGTTGATTTTGCTGTTGCGACTGCTGCTGAGAATGGCGCAATTTCGGCTGACTGCCGCTGAAGTTTGTGTCAGAGGAGTCGAGGAGGAGGTTCCTGCTCTGCGGGCGAACTTTTGGAGGTGTGGCGGTGGCTGGAGTATTGATGGACCGCTGTGACTTGAGGTGTGCTCCCGGAGCAATGGATGACTGGCGGACAGGGTGAACTGTAGTCGGTGGTGTGGCCAAGGAGGCTGGTGTACCCGTCCCAGTGCCTGACTGAGAAACAACTCCCATCAGGTGCTGCTGCTGAAGAGACTCCTGAGAGGAGAGAATGAAGTGACAGACAAAAAAGATATGAAAAAGAATGTTTACTGTACTGAATTTCACAAAGGCAGGCACAACACTATCCACTCCCCCAACAGATTTGACTCAGGGACACCAAGAACAATAAAAGAAGCACATTCACTGCAACACTTTTTATCTAGACTGGCTCCTTCTTCTACAACCAAAAAAAGACATGCAATCTGAATCACTTGTAAGATTTGATAAGTACAAAAGAAACCACGCACAGCATCTTGTATGGCTAGAACCACCATTCAAAGCAATTTTCAATGAGACATTTAAAGGCATTAAGATATAAAAGGGTGATATGAAAGACACACTAAAGCAGGATTTGGAAACAGTGAAATAAAATAGAAGATAAAGAAGCTAAAATTGAATAAAGCAGAAGAATAAAAATTACACTGTAGTTACAGTGCAGTGCACGGTATGAATAGAACAGTCCCAAACTTAATAAAGGGCAATAGTTTAAAAACACTTGAGCCTTAATTAAAAATGACTTGGAGTTGGAGCAGACGTCAGGTTTTCTGGGTTTGTTCCAGATATGAAACTGAATGCTGATGTTTTGTTTCATCGAGGACAGAGACAGACCTGTCCGGGTCAATCTGAGAGGTCTGGATGGTGGGAGGGTAAGATCACAATATCATGTTTTATGATTCTAGGGCTGTACCTTACTCAGAATTATGTCCGTCGAATCAGATTTGGCTGTTCAATACAAAAATCTGACTTTTATTTTTTTTCATGAAGCGTTTGATCAGGATTCAGCGAGACGTTCAGGGTGACAGTGATGTTCATGTAATACAGTAAACAAGCCAAGTTACCCCTCCGAGCTAATGTGGGCTAAGTATGCTAACAAACTGTTAAAATGCAACATTTTTTGCCAGCACTAGATATCGTACAAAAGCGAGTGACTGTATCGTATTATGCTGCTGTGATTTGTAAATTCACCACCTCTAAGCTCTCTTCCTGCGGGCAGCTGCCGCTCAGTTAGCATGGGCAAGAGACCAGTGTGAGAGCGAGAAGCGCTCACTCTGCAGCTAAATTTGGGGGCCGAAACATCCCCACACGTAAGCTGCACACAGACTGACAAAAAAAAAAAAACTGACTTGAAGAATCTCAGTCAACTGAGGGGTCTCCAACTGATGATTATAATCTTTGACCTTCAGGGAGCAGCCCTATGTGATACTGTATCAATTCTTAAACCACTGTACTGATTTTTAATTAAAAGTTTTTGTGCAAAGATTTGTGAACATATAGCTAGCATAAACACAAAGAATATAGACCTATGAGACAGACCGAGTCATAAAGGGCGCACGCCAAGCTACTAAAATTTAAAAAGTTGCAATATATCGCAATATATTTAATCGTAACCCCTGTATCGTGTTACGTGTGGTATCACCAGCCAATACACAGCCCTACTGGATGGACAGAAATGTGTTTTGGCCCTACACCATTTGGTACTTTATAAACCGACAGTACTATGTATGGATAAATGTATGGCTTGCTGTCTAGCTGTACAGGTAGAGATGTAGAGGTAGATGGATGGATGGATGAAGCCCTGTTCTGACACACCATCTGTATTAATAAACAGGAGGCTTGTGATGTTTGTTCCATTAAGGCCCACGCAGCAGGACAGAAATAGCTCAAGACTACATGACTGTATCATTAAACACTATAATTTTACACAGACACACTGTAGTAAACTTATCAGTGTGATGTAGATCAGCAGCTCCCTAGTACATCATCAGCCAAAAGGGTCAGTTTAGATTCACTGAGGGCTGCTTAAAAACACAAATATCCATCTGAACTCTATCAAACAAGTGACAGTTTAATTTAAGTTCATAATGTGGGTTCCCGTGTGTATTAAAACTAATTAGACACCAACTGTACAAAACAACTTTTCTCCAGAGTTAATCAGCTTTTACTGGACTCACACAGTTTAACATCTGAGTCTGATCTGCAGTATGTGGAGGGTGAAAGTATATAATGTAATGATATGTGCAGTATCGACAGTTATGGCACTCTTTTCTGCCCCGCTGACCGACAGCTAAATTTCAGCCCTGTTGAAACAAGGACACACAGCATTCTACAGAGTTCAGCAGAGCAGACCAGTGAATGATCCTGCTTCAGTGTGTTGTCTGTGGCGTAACAAGTGTCCCTCAAAAGTGCCCTTATATCCCTGTTGCATATTCTGCTGCCCATCATGAGAAGACCGTTCCTGTTTCATCTGGATCTTTGTTCTGCAGCCTGACAATCAAGTCTGAACGCAGTGGAAAACAAAAGTACAAGCAGGATCTAATGCAAGGGCGAATTTTAATTCGTGCGGACATTTTTGTTGCTCAATCAAGGTGTTAAAATCACACTAAGAATAAATGACAAGACTCTCAACTATGTTGGGTAATTTGGCTTGAAATGAGAAAAAACAATCCAGGTATTTTTAAGGAAGAGAGAGATAATACATTCTTGGCTGTGACTGTTCTCATCACAACATTTATAGATCCAGAAGTGATAACACTGCATCTGCACTGAACCGGAGTGACTGTTAAAATGAAGGAAACAGAGGGACATAAGCCAGGAGATGTACTGATATGTACAATATACAAGAGTAGAATTAGACCAAAAAGTGCCACGCTTTAAAGGGACAGTTCACCCCAGAATCAAAAATACATATTTTTTCTCTTACCTGTAGCGCTATTTATCAATCTAGATTGTTTTGGTGTGAGTTGAAGACTGTTAAAGATATCCGCAACAGAGATGTCTGCCTTCTCTTGTATATAGTGGAACTTGATGGCACTTGGCTTGAGGTGCTCAGAGTGCCAAAAGAAAAAAAAAAAAAACAGCAATGTCTCTTCCAGAAATCCTTTTCCTTCTACTGAACTACACCCACCAACTGCATCACCATGCAGAAGTAAGCGTGCATCTACTGCTAGCTCACCTAGCACCACTGAGCTAGCTAATGTTACAGCCAGTGGCTCAGCCTTGCAACAAATTTTTTCCAGTGGCCACTCGTGGTACTGCAGTGAAAAAATCCCCTGCAGCCCAAAAAGTATTTCCTCCATAGACCACAATTATAAAAGAGACGTCTGTAAAACTGTTGACAGGACACCTCAAATATAGACAATTTTTGAGTCATGGAGATTTTATATTTGTAAAACTTTCCTCAAGCTGAGCAAAGCTATTTAAAAATCTCTGATGTCATCACAATGTAAAGTCTATGTGCCAAGCAGAAACTCGCAGGCGGGGTCAGCAGGAGAAACACCACTGTGCATATTCAATGAGCTACATACCATGGAAGTAAACCCGGGAGTTAGAAAACTTTTTTGGCGCAAAGTGAGCAACTCCATTGGAATGAATGGGCGTTCAGCATTTAGGCTATTACTAAAATCTATGGTTGCTGCTCTTGAATCTCTATATCTCATCCATGAGTAGATGCACTCTTCCTTCTGTGTGGTGGTACATTTGGTGGGTGGACCTTGGTAGAAAGAAAATAGTTCCTTCCTGAAACTGCTCACAATAAGGTCTGTGAATTGTCTCAAGTAACCGGGACATAATTTCTGGAAAGAGACATTGCTGTTCAAATGTATTTTTTTGGCACTTTGAGCACCACGAGCCGAAACATTCTTTGTACTGTTTCCTTCATTTTAGCAATCACTCAAATTTGGTAAAAAACGCAGTATAATCACTTTTGGATCTATAAATGTTGTGATGAGAACACAGTCACAGCCAGGAATGACTTTTCTCAGTTTTTTTAAAAAATACCTGGATTGTTTTTTTCTATTTCAAGCCAAACTTAGAGTCTTACAATTTATTTTTAATATGACTTTAACACATTGATTGACTGATTGACTATGCAGAATTTTTGTTTTGGGCTCAATAGCCTATCTGATGGTTTTAAAGTAAAACCAAAAATCTTGAAAGTTTATCCTACTCTTATATGAAGGATAGAAATTTTAGCTATATTTGTTTTTATCTTATTTGACCACTCAAAATTTTAAGGGGTTTGAATAATGATTTTGATGAAAATGGGATGGACAAAATAATAGAAACACCACAACAAGTGGTCAAGTTTGAAGATTAATAATGACGTAAATTATTTTAAACATGACAGACAGCTAGAAAAGTAGTTGGAGATCTATGCTACAGATACAAGTGAACAATTGACCCTTCATTAAGTCCCACTCCTCGGACGCAGACTGGCCAATCTAATGTAGCACTGACCAGCTCTGACAAGGGTCCGACAACATCATGGCTGTGCTCCATAGATTCTCATGCTATTGTTTCAGCCTTCCTTCTTTTTCAGGCTGGTTTTGTGGATTTGGAGCTAAATGTTGTGCCTGGCACACAACGTGTATTAATGATAATTAATTAATTAATGTTGGAAAAACATATATATTTCTTACCTGTTCCAAAACCAAAATCAGACCCTGAAAAGTGTCGGGTTAGCTAGCTACCTACTGAAGATATAGCCTACTGAATGTATACACATGCTGATTTTGCTTTTCAGTGATTATAACAGTGAAAAAAAGACTGACCCTGCTGTACGGGAACCAGTGAAGGGAAGCAGGGAAACTTTGCTGATATTCAACCAGCTGTGTGTCATCGCAGTGTACATAGATGAACGTTGTTTGACTTTCACCATGGCTCCTTGCCCATCTACTGGCAGAGGTTCAGTGGCTGGTGGCGCAAGGGGAAGCCAAACACCGTTCATCTGCACACACTGCAACGCCACACAGCTGGTTCAGTATCAGCAAAGTTTCCCTTTATATTGATTGTCTTTTGTGGCGATCAGCAGTGATGTGGTGGTTCACTTTGACACTGTGATCTGTAGCCTTCGGCTTTAGCTTCTAACTATCTTTGTCTTTTTAACCTGTTGTTGCTGCTGACTCAGTTTGACATCGTGGATATATCCTTCAAACACAGACTGTAGACCCCTCTGTCTGCTTCTCTCTGGAATCACTGTCATTTTCCCAAAAATATGATAATATTTCTTCAGGGAGTGCAGTTAGTTACAGTGTGGGCTCCATGTTTACTTGAACACCCTGAAGGACCATCACGAAGGGGCGGGGCTTATCAAAGGGTCAAGTGAAATGAATGATAGTCTGTGTACATTTTGTGTTTTTGGACAAGCTAATAAGTCATCAAACCAGTGGTGCTCTTTAAAACACAATGCCATACACGCTATTCAGCTACAGTAACTACTGAGATGAAGACCAATTACTATACATTAATTAATAGGCAGAGAGATGTTCTGTGGGTACAAATTTAGGTTTACTGGTTTAATGCAAAACCAAATCATAATTTCTTAGGCAAGAATGGTGATGTTTATACTATGGGAGTCAGCTATATAGATAAAATGGTGAAGCTATATTTCACAGACGTTTTTCTATATTTATTTCATACGTAAATTTTGCAGATATCTGTGTAAAATATGATGGTAACCCTGCATATTATTACAAGCTGTCTTTCTGTAACATTTGAAGTGCATTGAGAGATTCCTACCTGCACCTGCAGTGACAGCTGGTGCCAGGCAAAGTCATTGCTCTGATTCTGCCGGGTGAAATCATCACTGTAGCTGTGTGAGTGGACAATGCTAGGCTGCACCAGACTGCTTTGTGACCGCAGGGCGGACAAGTCCTCGCTGCGGGAGAAAGCACTGTTGCCAAAAGCCGGTGCATAGTCGTGGTGGCCATTCTCGGGCTCGGGGGCGAGGAGGAGAGGAGGGGGATGCTGTTGAGACTGAGACTGAGCCGGGGAGTTCTGGGCAGCCAGATGGAATAGTGGGTTTTGGAAAGAGAGGGGGAAATGCATGGCCGCTGCTGCCTGCTGCTGCTGTTGAGAGATGGATTCAGTGGGCCCCCCTATGTGGCCCATCTGGCTCAGCCTCAAACCCGAGCCTGAAGAGCCCGCTGGCATATGCCCTCCCATACGAAGAGGACCGCAGAGGTTTCCGAAGCTGTGGCCCAGACCGGCGATTGAGGCTTGAGAGGAGGTGAGCATGTCTCCCACAGAGTTTAGGTTGGAAATGCTGTTCATACGGGAATCCTGAAGGTCCATCATGGACACACTTTTATTCACACTATGGACCTGAGAGAAACAATAAAAACATTTATCGTGTTTGCTGGATTTTGGACTGAATTTTATGATGTACAAAAACATTGTTCAAGACACATTTTACTCCATTTTTAAATGTACAGTAGATGGATGTATTTTCCGTTTTAGATTTAAACACATTAAGCTGTCATGTGTAGTTATACTGAAGCCTTTTGACAGCTAAATGCATTTATACAGTAATGCTAGACTAATGTTTTACTCTGCTGTATATTGCATTATTCCATCTAAGCCTATCCCTGTACCATGCTCTTTCTTAAAACCCTTTTTACACATCATTTTTTATTGGTTTGTTGTCTTTTCATATCTCTTAATGCCTTCTTATGTCTTGTGTAAAGCACGTTTAATTGTCTTTCATTAAACAGTGGCATCACAAAAACTTGCTTTGCCATGACATGCTTTACTGGATCATTTAAAATTCCAAATTTCTTAATTAATGCAATTTTTAGACCTTAAATGTAATTACATTGGAAGATCTTACATTGCAACCACATTCTGTGTAATCAAATCAAAAGTTAGACTTGAAAATGGCTTTGATGATTAAATGATCACAAAAATGTTATTATGATCTTGATCTTGTTATTATGATCTTGATCTTGTTATTATGATCTTGATCAAAAAAAAAATCTTCTCGTCATTGAAATTAACAAAAGTCTTCTAAAATTGCAACCAGACGAATCATGTTTTCAAGCTTATGCTTTATTTGCTTTAGCAGATACGTCTGGCCCCCCTCCCGTTCAAACAGATTTCTAGACAATCAGACACGGGTCGGGCCATTCACAACAATCTGATATGGGGTGGGTTTGATATGGATATAATGTCTGACAATGCTTGCACTTAACGCAAATTTAGTAATAACGTTATTCTTTGCTCGTGCACTCTCACGCCAGGACACAAATGTGCATTTCCCAGGACAGTGAAGGCATGGCCTGCCTTACTCTGCATCTGACAGTCTTACCCTGACATTCTTCTAACTCATCTCACTCCTCTTGTCAAACAGCACGTTCACATGCCGTGTTTTTCATGCCCTCAAATCCACCACACAGAAATCGCACTCAAAATCGAGAGCAGTGCTGTCATGATGCACAAGCGTCCCTGAGCACCTGTTTTCAGCCCCTGACGGATGTGTCCTGAGATCAACACAAATCAGCTTTTGGAACACTGAAGCGTGCACCGCATGTCATGTGAAAGTAACAATATTTCACAGCCTTGAAATATATTTCCCTTCTTTGATAAATACCAATCTGTGGTAAATATGGAGAAGAAATTGATCACTTTAGTGCAGGGCTACACAGAGCTTTACATCTGTCCCACAGACAATATTTTAGACCCAATACACACTTGCAAAACAACGCCTGACAGAAGGTCAGCTCTGCACTCAAGACTTCTGGTAAGTAGGCTATGATGCAGTGCTGATATGGTTGCTTGGCAACCTCAGACGCAACCTGCCTCCGCACTCTTGAAAGTTGGCACAGAGGAAGCACAGGAGTGGCACCCAGCGCCCAAACTCATGTTTTCCAAGCCTTTAAAGACATGACAATGAAGGAAACAAGTTCTGGCCAATCAGAGGAGAGAGTAGGGAACCACATGCCTTCACTATACTGGGAAGCATCTGCTTTTCTTGCTGGGACACCACAGTGAGGCATTTTCTAAACATCTAAGACGGCTGCAGCTGATGTGGAACTTTGTGTTGTAGCATTATTTTCAAATTCTGATGGTAACAGCAGCAAAACTCTCTGCACAGTGTAGACCGTTTACATTTGTACTTAGCTCTGCGACTTTGTCTTTGTCTTTGTTTCATTGCTCTAATTGGTTGTAGGTCTATCCAATTGTGTCCAAAGACCATTTCTATCTACGCCCCTTGTAAACTGAAAATGAACTGAGATGCTAGGCTAAGACTGCAATCAAACCTATTCTCAAATCGATAAAAGTGTGATACCACCATAATATCATGTTGTGTTATTGTCTAATGTAACTACTTATTTAAGAAGGGTTAGGGTTTTCAGTCTATTCATCTCACTTCAGCCATTTTTTTTTGCAGCAGCAAAATGTATCAAGTGGACTGAAAAAGCAATTGATTATATTATTCTAGCAGGCTACCTAAAGTTTCATTTGTATTTTTCAAATGACTAATTTCTATAATAAAAAAAATCGATACTTGGCACTGTGTGGCGATATGATATTACTACGCAACAATATCGTGATACTATGCTTTCCCACACCCCTCGTATTTCATAAAAATGTACATACTGATACTGATAGAGAGGGCTCACATACAGTACAGGCCAAAAGTTTGGACACACCTTCTCATTCAATGCGTTTTCTTTATTTTCATGACTATTTACATTGTAGATTCTCACTGAAGGCATCAAAACTATGAATGAACACATGTGGAGTTATGTACTTAACAAAAAAAGGTGAAATAACTGAAAACATGTTTTATATTCTAGTTTCTTCAAAATAGCCACCCTTTGCTCTGATTACTGCTTTGCACACTCTTGGCATTCTCTCCATGAGCTTCAAGAGGTAGTCACCTGAAATGGTTTTCCAACAGTCTTGAAGGAGTTCCCAGAGGTGTTTAGCACTTGTTGGCCCCTTTGCCTTCACTCTGCGGTCCAGCTCACCCCAAACCATCTCGATTGGGTTCAGGTCCGGTGACTGTGGAGGCCAGGTCATCTGCCGCAGCACTCCATCACTCTCCTTCTTGGTCAAATAGCCCTTACACAGCCTGGAGGTGTGTTTGGGGTCATTGTCCTGTTGAAAAATAAATGATCGTCCAACTAAACGCAAACCGGATGGGATGGCATGTCGCTGCAGGATGCTGTGGTAGCCATGCTGGTTCAGTGTGCCTTCAATTTTGAATAAATCCCCAACAGTGTCACCAGCAAAACACCCCCACACCATCACACCTCCTCCTCCATGCTTCACAGTGGGAACCAGGCATGTGGAATCCATCCGTTCACCTTTTCTGCGTCTCACAAAGACACGGCGGTTGGAACCAAAGATCTCAAATTTGGACTCATCAGACCAAAGCACAGATTTCCACTGGTCTAATGTCCATTCCTTGTGTTTCTTGGCCCAAACAAATCTCTTCTGCTTGTTGCCTCTCCTTAGCAGTGGTTTCCTAGCAGCTATTTGACCATGAAGGCCTGATTGGCGCAGTCTCCTCTTAACAGTTGTTCTAGAGATGGGTCTGCTGCTAGAACTCTGTGTGGCATTCATCTGGTCTCTGATCTGAGCTGCTGTTAACTTGCGATTTCTGAGGCTGGTGACTCGGATGAACTTATCCTCAGAAGCAGAGGTGACTCTTGGTCTTCCTTTCCTGGGTCGGTCCTCATGTGTGCCAGTTTCGTTGTAGCGCTTGATGGTTTTTGCGACTCCACTTGGGGACACATTTAAAGTTTTTGCAATTTTCCGGACTGACTGACCTTCATTTCTTAAAGTAATGATGGCCACTCGTTTTTCTTTAGTTAGCTGATTGGTTCTTGCCATAATATGAATTTTAACAGTTGTCCAATAGGGCTGTCGGCTGTGTATTAACCTGACTTCTGCACAACACAACTGATGGTCCCAACCCCATTGATAAAGCAAGAAATTCCACTAATTAACCCTGATAAGGCACACCTGTGAAGTGGAAACCATTTCAGGTGACTACCTCTTGAAGCTCATGGAGAGAATGCCAAGAGTGTGCAAAGCAGTAATCAGAGCAAAGGGTGGCTATTTTGAAGAAACTAGAATATAAAACATGTTTTCAGTTATTTCACCTTTTTTTGTTAAGTACATAACTACATGTGTTCATTCATAGTTTTGATGCCTTCAGTGAGAATCTACAATGTAAATAGTCATGAAAATAAAGAAAACGCATTGAATGAGAAGGTGTGTCCAAACTTTTGGCCTGTACTGTAGCTGCAGAGATGAGACATAAATCAGCAAACAGAACCAGACTATGTGACATCATACCTTTGGATCAGGTTCAGTGATGTCCGAGCTGCTCGTGCAGTATGCAGGGCTGGATCGAGCCAGCGGTGGGCGGGTCACATAGAACACCTCCCTCGACGAGCGGAGGTCTCGTTCTGCCTGACGCCTCATGTTCAGATTAGATGAGAGGGATTCTACAGCTGAGACTCCGGTCGTCGGGGACGGCAGCCGAGAGATGTCTATTGAACTGCAGATAACACACGAGACGGAAATGTTTCAAATCGCTGTGAAAAGTTTTTCAACACTGTCTTGTAGATGCTTCTTTTTTGTATTATCCCATTTAATTTTAAACAATGCGTTCTGTATGGAGAGAAATAAAAGTGTATGTGAGGAATATCTCCTTGCAAATCCCTCATCATTTCCTGCATGGCATTGTAAGCTGTGAGCACTTTGATTAAAGAGTGACTTTTTTTAGAATCACTTTCACAGGCCTATGTGTGAATGTGTTTTTCCTCATTTCCCAATTATCTTATGCAACACCTTGTAGGGGTCCTGACCCGAGGATACTGGGATACCCATGTCCCACCTACTGTTTGCTTTACATATTGTATGGTTGGAAAATATACTCAAGGAAACTTGGCTTGTTATTTTTGTAAAGCTGTAAATTAAAGTTCAAGCTAAATTAAAAAAAATATATACATACATATATATATATATATATATGTATATATATATATGTATACACACACAAATTGGTTGGTCTGGTAGCCGAGCATGAACTGGAAAAATATGGAGAAATAACAAGGTGAACATATGCAGAGTTTATCCCTGTGTGCAAAAATCTGAGGCTTCCAACCTTTTTAAATACTTTGTTTCCAATATTTTTTATATTTTGGCGACATCCTGACATCACCTTGTGACACGTTTCTTTATTTGGTCATCTGCATCAAGCGTACTACTCCAATTGTTTACATTACGTAGCCTACTCTGCTACATAAAGCGTCAGGGAAACGTGTAATCTTTGTTGCAGATGTTGTTTATTTGCCCCTGATTTTGGATCATATTCCTGCTGGAACATGTCCAGTTGGTAATTTTCTGGTTTAGAAGCTTTTACTGGTGTTTTTTTCTCCATGGTATAAAGTGTCATAGTCTTTCCCTGGCTGCAATGATGCTGCAGAGATACAGAAGATGCAGAAATGTTGACCACTCAGGGCATAGACAGTATGAGAAATATAAAGTGTTGATCATTTGTACTCACAGTGGAGAGTTTTTGATCCAATGCAGCTGTCTTTAAGATTTTACTGTGTGCAAGAACTACACAAGTGTTATTATGCAGTGTGGAGTTCCATTACGCAACAATTATTCAGTGAGGAGAAGACATGACCTCCATCCTGTCACTCACACGTAGGCTGATACCTCTGCAGTCAGAGCTACGAGGAGTGGCAGGTGTGTCTCCCCTTGTGTTGTTTTGAATTTCCAGACGTTTGAGCTCTGTCCTCTCACGCCTGCCTGCAGCACACTCAAGTCATTCTCATTCAGTTACATATTTACTGCTACAGAATGGGCTAGCGCTCGGTATAGTTAACACAAAATATCTGCAGTGGAGCCCTCTGATATTACCGCTGTTTTTCCTTGTACTTAAAGAGTTCTTATTTAAACAGTTATGCCGTAATGAGAGCAACCATCTCTTGACAATAGCAGAATGCCGACACGAATTAAAAACACAGTCTGGGAACAGATGGTGCTGGCAATTACTGATTGATAAACTGCTTTAAAAGCCTGAAGAGGTGCATTAGCATTAGCATTATGGGCTCTTAGAAATATGCCAGTGTTTTGTTTGGAGCTAATTTATCTTCATTTATTGCGTATTCTTGGCCTTTTTATGTGCTGCTGTTAATTACACACATGTGAAACTGTAATTCCACTGTTTATGTGCAGTAGGTGCATATTTGCAATTGTGACCATTCACATTGTCTTGATTAAGTCACAGCAGGGATCAATTCTCTGTTCAGATGCAAAAGCAGCATTTGCCATTACCCATCTTGGCACACAGTTCATGACAGCAGCGCACTCTTTGAGGTGTGGAAGCGATAACAAAAATACATAACAAAGGAAACCATGAGAGGATACCTGTTTAAGTCGCGCATCATAAGGCTTTGGAAGTCAGAGGACATGAGACGATTGAAAGATGGCCGCGAGAAGAGTCTGTCCTTCGGTCGGTCAGGCTGGTGATTTGTAGGCATGTGGAGCTGCGGGTTCCTCAAGGCGACGCTGATATCATTCAGCAGCCGTGGTAGGGGTCCAAGTTTGAGAATAGCATCCTGCAGCATGGAGAGGTTTTTCAGAATTAAAAAAAAAATCCAAAGTTCACATGAATTATACCAGGAGTTCCCAACCTTTTAATTATGTTGTAGCTATCCAGACAACTACAAAGAGGCCAAGATGATGACCGATTACCTCATGCACTGATGACCTACTTCAGTTCAAAGTCATTATCCTGCTAACACATGCATTATACATATTTAATTTTGGGAATAAAGCAAGCTTGGTACTCAGTTTCGGCAGATATCCTTATTAAAGGTGTCTGAATCTGTATCAGGAGAGAGATTATTCAGTGTTTTATGCAGCCCTGTAGAAAATGTTCCACAGCCCAGTACTTGCCCGTGCCCCAGGGACGGGAAACCTCTGCTATGTACAATATGACTCACTTTTTCATTCACAAATTCAAATGTCATTCAGAAAAAGCAGAAAAAGTATTTTATGAAACACCGAGTGCAGCAATTAAAAAGCACATAACGTTTAGGCAATTCAGGGCGGAGCATAAATATTTAGAACTTTCATTATGTTAGGACTACAGCACAATTTCAATAAATTAACAGAACAAGCACCAGAGTTAAATATTAAAGGACTAATTCCACCTCAGTTTTAATGGAGTTCAAATAATATTCATGTGTCTATGTCTGATAGATAGAAAACTGCAGAGCCTCATTTTCCAGCTCTCCCCTCTCTCTCTACATTCTTCAGTTAGAGAAAGAGATCATATTAGATGTTTCATTTCATGTTCCAGCAAGTTATTCCACCTACCTTGCTAAGCTGGCCCATGACTTCCCACAGTAAGCTGTGGAGCATGGACAATTCTCTGCCAAGGTCAATGTAGCCCTCAAACCCTCCGGCGTTTCCTCCAGCGTCCATGTTGGAAATCTCATAGAGGAACTGCTGCATGGAGCCCCACTCCATCTCCAGGAACTCATTCATGAAATACATGTATTCCTCCTTAGGTCCGAATCTGCAGAGACGATAATGACAGGATATGTGATGGCGGAGAAGACGATGGAAACTGTACAGTGTGACGAGGAAGTGGAAGGAGCTACTGTTTAATGTTCTGGTGTGTGTAGGAGTTGAGTTAATAAAATCTCATATAGAAAGGCAGAGTCCCTCAAAATGTGTACAGCAGTTGATATCGAGAGACGTTTTGATCCTGTTTGAATTGTGACATTTAAAAGATAAATTTAAATGAAAGTCAGTGTGTCGTAAAAGTGTTTAGTGTTTAGATGTCATAACTTTCTCTCTCGCTGGAGCTACGATGCCTCTGTGTTTGGAATCAGAGTGTACTCACACAAGCAAAAGGTGTTGCTCGTTCTTTCACTTACTGACTGATAAAAAGACCAGGGGCCGTATTCACAAAGCTTCCTTGTGCTAAGAGTTGCTCCTAGTGACAAAATTCGAAGAAAATCTTGTGACATTTTCTTAGAATTTCCCCTTAAAGTTAAGACTAGATCCTTGTTAAGATAAAAGTTATTCACAAAGTGTCTTAACCCTAAAAGAGCTCTTAAGGTGAAAAACTGTTAGGAGTAGAGAGGAGGACTTTTAAGAGGGTTAAGTGTTTCTTAAGCAGAGGAGAAAATGGTGGAAACATAAAGAGGTCGGAGAAATATTCTCCAAATACAGGATGACAATTTATGTAAATAAAATGCTACAGATTAGATGGTGCAAGGGTAATATGTGTGATCGATCTCATTTCCCACCCTACACAATATTGCTATAACTCCAAAACTAAAATGACTGCAACACTGAGATATTTGAAAAACCTTCCATCAGCAGAGCGATCACACAAACAGAAACACTTTCACAGTCAGCAGTTCATGTCATTTCCACTGGGTGTCCACACCTTGCAGTCTTACAAAAGGGCGTGTTTGTGACAACCAATCACATCTGTTAAAAGCAAGCATCATACCTAACAAAGGGGGCCAACCACACCTCCTCATTAAGATAAAAGTTTCTGTCCCCAGAGTTGCTCTTAGAACTTTCCTACATCACTCCTAAACTATGACTCCTTAGTTAGGAGCTCTCTGAGAGTGTAATAGGGCTGCAACGATTAGTCGACTAATCAACTATTAAAATAATCGGTGACTCTTTTAGTAGTCGACTAATCGGTTGGAGTCATTTTTCATAGAAAAGTACTATAAAAGTACCCCAAAATACTCTTATTGCAGCTTCTTACATTCAGATATTGGCAGCTTTACACACTCTCCCATGACGGTGAACTAAAACACGACATTAGATGACATAGTTTTTAGGGTTTTGGAGAGACAGACCAACATTTTTCAACATTTTAACACATTTTTCGATAAAATGATTGGTCGACTAATAGAAGAAATAATTGTCAGGTTAGTCGACAATGATAATAATCGTTAGTTGCAGCCCTAGAGTGTAAGATGACGTTATATTTGTGTTAAGGTAAAGGCGATGTTGATGTTGGTGATGTATAGTGTGCGAGACGAGAGATGCGCTTTCACACAAAACTAAATGGTTCTACCACAAACCTACAACCAACTATGACTTCCCTGTGTTGCAAAGTTATCTTTATCTTTTAAATTCATAAATATCTTATGTGTAATTCATGGCACAATACAAACTAGAAAATTATTTGTTGCCTATGGTACAAATTTTTACCCAAATAAGGTCTCATGGGGGACACAGGTACAGGAGGGACTTCGCCTTTCTAATTAAAAAAGGCAGATGAACTGTGATTGCCTTTTCTGTTGTTGTTCCACACTTTTGTTGTGAGTAAACATTGAGGATGTTCATAAACACACTATGAGTCACTCTTGGTTCTGATCGTACTGGAGACACAATACTTTACAGAGAACACTGACGATCAATATCTTTTAAAAGAAATTGTCATTAACTTGCACGTACAAACACGACAGAGGCTGAACCTGGAAAACACGAGTCACATGTTTTTATGCTGCAATATCCTGGTTTTCATACCCAGGTTTCTGAAAGATGTTCAAACAAATAACCAAGAAACTCCATTAAAATAAAAATAAAAAATAGTGCATGTGTAAACACACCTCACTGTGAAAGTCATAACTCGAGGAAATGGGGTTGACTCATCATCACATGAAGTATACAGTTTGGTCAAGAAGGGAGAGAAATACAGGGAAGATGTCTCTTTTCAAGGTTTTTAGGCACTGTATGTTTTTCAATTAATCATTTTGTTTATAAGATGTCAGAAAATTGTGAAAACAGCCACAATAACTTCCCAAAGTCTGAGGGGATATCGTCAAATTACTTTTACCAGAAGTCCAACACCCAAACATATTTAATTTACAATGATTTAAAACAGAGAAACAAATCCTCATTGGAGAAGCTGGAAACTTTAGATAAGATAATGATGACATAAGTTATGTTACTGCCAAACGTATAACATGTTGAGCATTTGCATCCAGTGTTTCTGAATTGTAAAGTCTATTAAATTACCACCAAGCTTTTGATGTCTTGGGGCGTTGGTGACTTAGTGGTAGAGCAGGCGCCCCATGTACAAGGCTGTTGCCGCAGCGGCCTGGGTTCGAATCCAGCTTGTGGCCCTTTGCTGCATGTCATCCCCTCTCTCTCTCCCCCTTTCACACTTACCTGTCCTGTCCATTAAAGGCAAAATGGCCAAAAAAATATCTTAAAAAAAAAAAAGCTTTTGATGTCTTAATTATACAATGGGAGCACATTTAAGCCACATTTAATATTCAGACAAATGTCAGTAAGGGGCACAGGGTGAAAGTATGAAATGTGTCGCAGCTGAAAGCCTTGGAGCTCACCGTGGGTGAGTAACACTTGATACCCTCACAGCCAAAACTGCAAGACTCTATTTCTGTGATGTTACTCCGTGACGTGCATCCCACCTCGCACACGCATCAATGTCTAACAAATCTAAAAATAAACTGAATCAAATTAATGTTGGTATAAGAGGACAGACGATGACAGGGACTCACTTGCTGAAGCTGGCCAGGTTCTGCATCACCTTAGCTATGAGCGTGAGTGTGCGGGACGTGCGCTCAGCAGGGTACTCCTGCATTAGGTTGAACAGGGAGGGGGACATGATGGCCGGGCACATGAAGCGAAGAAACAAGGAGGAGCTGATGAGGCTGTCGGCGAGATCCTCTCTTCCACGCTCAGCACATCTTGCTCTCCACGAGGCGAAAACTTCCTTCAGCTCCCGAGGAAATATGCTGAAACAAGAGCATGATTTTATTACCCCACTGTCAAGGAGAAAGGCAAGATCAAATCCAGCAGCTTATCCAAAGCCCTCAGGAATTCAGCAAGGTCAGGAGACTAAAATATACGGAAAATTACTGGATCATACCCTGCTCAGGATGGAGAATTTGTTTATGAAACCACTTTTCAAATAGCCTTACATGTTGTTGATGATTATATCACTGAGGATAAAAACACATCTGAACTGTTAATGATCATGTTAAATTCGGTTATGTCTGTTTTGTGTCATTGTGTCAGAGTTTTCATATAGAAAGCTTTTATATTGTTTTTACTATGGAGACAAATAGCAGGCAAATATTTTATCAACTGATAAGAAAATAAATTGTAACTGTAAAGCTTAAATTTAAAACGGAAAGCTCGATCTTAAACCCTAAAAAAACATGGCAATGCAACCAAAATATAAATAAAATTTTTTCTGTATTTCAAATCATTTTAAAAATTAATTTAGAATCTTTTCCCCCAGATTATATAACTGTTTTAATAAAAAATGTTCATAGTTTCAAAACTTCCATTTTTCAGCTGGCTTTTGTCTCTCTGCTGTGGAGGGGTGGGGTCAGCAGAGAAGGTTGTGACCTTGCTCAATCGTGCTGCCTTCAGGAAATGTGGGGATTGGGAAAGCTGAGACTCTGAATTTTCTAAACACCAAGAGAAATGCTGCAGGAAATAGTCCGAAAACCCAGACATGAGTTAGCATCTTTGTACTCCCACTTCCCCTCATCTACAATTCACTAGGTTTTCATGTAATGGGTCTTTGGTTAGACACCTGATATAAGGTCTTTAACATTTTGTTCTCCGACATAAAGTACTTCAGTGAATACCCCACTCATAAATTTGGAAGATTTTACTTAAAAAAGGCAGTAGCTAACAAGTGGCTCAACGGGACTTCAGAGATTCTAGGGTATATTAGCTCCACAATGCCAAACACAACACTTTTTACTCCTGGTGATTGCATTTAAACTTTCAAAAGCATAACAGTGGTGTTCGTTTGTGAACATTATTTTGCTGAACAAAATGTTTATGTATCATGAACTTGGCCAACAAAAAAACATCATCCCCGCAGCACTCTGTTTAAGTATATGGTGTGGACCAAAATGGACACCAGACAGAGATAGCTGCGGGATGTTTTAGACCCACATGGCACCAATCAATACGACTACAGAACAGATACATGTATACTGTTTTCTGAGGGGTATAAATGGGAATAAACTAACCAGAGGGAGTTGATGATCTTGCAGAGCAACAGCTCACAACACATTCGAAGGTTGGCTTGATGGTCGGCAAGGACAGACGGTGGGACACGCATGGGATCCACCTCACAGTTCTCCTCAGACTCATATAAGGCTCGAATGAAGTCACCTGCAAGATGGAGAACACACAATCGCAATATTACCCGATATGCTTATTTGATATTGATTTTCTTGATTTGTTAACATGAGTGACTCTCTCTTACAGCCAGAAACCAGAGAAGTAAGTCTCAAACTTGTGATGTCATCAAGTGTAAAGTCTGAAGCTGCTGTATAGACAAAATGTCCCACTCAGTTGTAAGACAGAAAATGTTCGCATACACTCAGATCACTCCCGTGGGTGCTCTCAGTGGCATCTATAACATCTTTCCCAATTCACTGTCTATGGAGCAGCTCCAGACTTACTACATGATGACAGCACAAATTTGAGTTCTAGCACTCTAGTTTTTGGGTGTGAAAGAAATGTATCAATATTCTTGGATTGTTTTAGACCATAGGAATAATATGTAAGAATTTTAGTATGGGTGTAGTTCCTCTCAAAGGGTCCAGTGTGTAGGATTTAGTGGGATATATTGGCAAAACTGGAATATAATAAGTATGTTTTCTGAAGTGTATAATCACTTTAAAATATGAATTGTTGTGTTGTCGTTATCTTAGAATGAGCTGTTAATATCTACATAGGGAGCCCGTCCTTTTCTACAGGGATTGCCATGTCGCACCGCCATATTTCTACAGTAGCCCAGAACAGACAAACCACACACTGGCTGCTTTATTCTGTGTTTTTACCATTTCAAATCACCTAGTTTGTTTTGGAGAGGAAGAGACTTATGTAGATAATTCGGCTCTTGGTAAAAACTTGAACGTCTTAAGTCATCAGAGAAAAAAAGGTGAGCACAGATTAGCAGGTGCTAGGTTAGCAGCCCGTCTCCTATACGCCAAACAGCGTAGGAAAAACACTGATTTTTAACATGAAATTGTTTTATTCAGTGTTTCTACCAGTGTCAATCACCTGGTCTGCTCATTTTGGAGAGGAGGAGACCTCTGTGAATACTTCAGCCCCTGGTAAAAATCTCCTGAACAAATAACACTGGAGGAATTCTAACTATCCTCACTGCTTTTTCCTCACTTCCTCTGTAATAAAATGAAAATATGTCACTAAAGTACTGTGTAAAATGATTATGAAATATGTTAAGATGAGCTAAAATGTGAATGATCGATTCATTAAAGAATGTCTGTTTGGAGGAAGTTAATATTAAAACTTAAAAATATATAAATTTAAAATCTATAGCACTTGTAATAAATGAGATAAAACAAAATTTCTGGTATGCCTTCCTTTGGGACTACAGATACTGGATTGTGTGATCCAACTATTCTCATGATTTTTCTTTCACTGTATGAGAGAATAAAAGAAGAAATTAGCATTTGATGTTGGGACACTGAAATTAAAGCACAACTCCTGTTTATTGATTTGACATTTAGACAGGTCTTCTTATGACTAGTGTTTCTAAAATGCTGCTACAACAATAAAAACAAGTCATTTGTGAAAATGTCACAAATGTTTCACAAAGCAGATCAAACAATCTCAACATTAAACAATGTTGCAGTCTTTTTTTTTTTGGCTAAATGACAGATTTTCATGCTGGAATTTAGCCAAGTCGGACACAGCTTCAAATACATCTGATTACACACACAGTGACGTACAGTTGGGTTGATCTACAGCAGCCTCACCTATAGCATCCTTGAGGTATCTGTGACCTATCAGTTTGAGGTACTCTTCCACAGCCTTTGTAGCTAGCGTGTTCTCACGAAAGATCAAGTGCTCACGGTCCATGAACCGATCCACCTCACACATCGCCATGTCAGACAGGAACTCCTGAGAAGAGTTTATATTTAGAGTTCAATGGAGGGTGCGCAAAGGAAAGCAATGAACCAAACCTATAGATCGTACAGCAACAATATATGAAAAAACAACATGCAACCAGGCTACATTTTGCCCTCTGTTTACCTTTGTCTTCCCTGTGCTTTGCAGGATGTGCACCAGAGCGAACGCCACCTCCTCTTTGCTTTTCACACTCAACAGAGGCTCCAGAACTGCACACAGTGTTCGGTAGTTGTTGGTGATGTACTCAGCAAACTCCTTGTACAGCTCCATCGGGAGTATGTTCATTGTCTGGTAGCGAGACTTAACACGTAGCGAGGCGTTGATCACTTTGGCACTTCCAACACCACCGCTTTTGGCCAAGACACTGGACTGTATCACCGGGTACCACTGCTCCACAAACTGCCGGCCCGTGATGCTGGAGATGGGGATGCTGACAAGGCCAAGATATGTGCTTTTCTCCTAGAATACCAAGAAAAACATTATTTCTTTTTTTTTTTAAATATTTAAAGCACAATAAAATGTTTGTTTTTTTACCCTGAACTTTTCTTATCGATACAGAAGACATTACCTTGCGTCTTTTTTTATCAGTTTCCTTGTAGAGGTGCAAACGAAGGCTACGGATGGTAGGCAAATTGTTAAATTCAAAATGCTCGCCCCAGAAGACGGTGTCAGTCCGGGGTTTGCTGGTGGTGCGTGCGTACAGCATGTCATCCAGACACAGCTCACAATAGTAGCGTTTCTTAGCCGGAAGGTCTCGAGCTTCGATGATCCACAACTTGAGCACATTGTCCACCCGTCTGCTGTTGTCCTGGAAGTGGAACAAGGAGTTCTGTTACTGCATTATAACAGTCCTTATTCACATCTGTCCGTCATTTTACAACCTGGATCTTGTCATTCTGAGTTGCTGGAATTTATAACTTGAAAAATCTATTGTATCTACCTTGTTAGGTTTGACCGCTCGTTGCAGATTTTCAATCCACTTGTCCCTTTCTGAAGCTGAACGACAGGCAAAACATTTTGTCCCTGAATTGGTGGTTACCTGCAGACAAAATATTCATTATGATAAAATATTTCTTATATGGCTGCAGGAAACAATTATTTTCGCTATCAATTAACCTGTTGATTGTTTTTTGTGATTAATTGGTTATAGAATGTGGTATAGACTACGTAACAAATCATGAAATTGCTTGTTTTGTCCATAACTCGAAGGTAAGGGGGGAAACAGAAAATTCTCACATTTGATAAGCTGCAACCAGAAAAGTTCTTGATATAAAAGACATTATTTGATTCAAAAGTTTTGTAATCAAAAAATAAATTCCTAATTTATCATATGTCTCATTATTTGTATTTAAAGCAAAACACTGCATGGATCTAAGGTGAGAAGCGGCTTTATAGTGGCACCTGATTTGATATCACTACATACAAACATTTTTTTTAAATTCAATTATTTTGGTTGTCTAAAGAAATCTACAATTAGTTTAAAGTCCATTAGAAGGCAGGTACAGCCAGGGATGATGAAGTGATTATACAACACACCTCAAAGCAGTACTCTTGTCCTAAAATGCTAGAGTGGACAGGTTTGATTATGGCATCTTCGTCCAAAACTAGGTCCAAAGCCTCCGCAGCACTGCTAGGAGAAAGTAGGGATTCATGGGAGTGGGATTCTTTGAAGCTCTGCATCAAGCGTGTCCTGGTGAGAGAAAAATTCAGAAGTCATGTTATATCATAATCATATGATACCATACATTTGGTCTTTAGATAAACAATCCGGAAAGGTTCTGATAAAAATGAGTCACCGCAGCTCAAAAATCCTCACTCCTGCAACGTCAGTGTGAATTGTGAGATCTGATCCTTTTATAATGAGTTTATGGAAAACTTAAGACTGCCAGATTTTCAGCTCTGGTGTTTGCAGTTTGGTCTGTTGACTCGACTTATCTGAGTCATGCTGCATGTTAGGGAAATGGGCCCACAGTGTCTCTGTTGGCGGTGTTGTCTGGGAAAGCAATTCTTTAAATTTCCCTACAAATGCACAAGAATATAAACATGCAGATGCAAATGTAATGTTGCCTGTTGTGAAAACGGGTATAAATGTAAACTGTTCGGTGGCTTGTCTGCAGAAATACTGAGCAGTTATAAAAAGCCCTTTAGCAGAGGGCAGCTCTATCGGGAGAAAGAAAAGTGGTGGTGGATAAGAAAGCAAAAAGGTGAGTCAAGGCTGTCTCTAAAGCCAAGTAAGGCCAGTGGGCAAAGTGAAAAAAATGTAGCAAGGAAAACACTTTGTTTTGAGAGATGGTGAGAAGACTGAAACTCCTCTCATCATGTTGTTGCACTAAGTGCCAGCAGGTGATTAGGTGAGCTTAGCATAAAAGAATTGAGTCACTCACATGAGGCATATGCCAAAAAAGTTTCTAGCTTCAAGGTTTACTTCTGCGGTATGCGGCTCACTGAATATGTGCTGTGGTGTTTCTCCTGCTGGCCCCGTCCTCGAGTTCCCGCTCGGCTCATAGACTTTTGCGTTGTGGCGATATCGCTAAATTTTTTTTCTCAGCTCGAGGAAAGTTTTATAAATATAAAACTTCCATTGATCAAAAATTCATAATAGAAAGAGTCATAACTGACCCTTGCATTTTGCATTGTCCTGTCAACAGTTGTACAGACATCTCTTTTTACAATGGTGGTCAATGGAGAAAATCATTTTTGGGTCACAGGGGATTTTCTCGCTTCAATACTGCAAATGGCCACTAGGAAAAATTGGAAGTAAGGCTGAATGGCTGTCCTTGGGGGCCTGTATATAACTGACAAATATGACAGTGGTATCAATCGTCTTATCCAACTCTCATAGAGAAAGTGTACAAGTAAAATGCTGAATTATTCCTTTAATATTTTCTGAAACTACCTTTGAAGAATACAAAATGTTAGAGCTAGTTTGCTGCATCATAGTTAAAGCAACAGTTAAACATTTTGGGAGATTTGCTCATTAACTTTCTGGCAGAGAGTTGGATCAGAAGATGATAGGCTGCCACTCTTGCATTTGTCCGCTACAATGAGCAGCCATTTAGCTTAGCTTAGCATAAAGACTAAAAAAGGCTAACCTGGGTCTGTCCAGAGGAAATACAATCTGCCCACCAGCACCACTAAAGCTAATTAACATGTTATACCTGATTTGTTCAATAGAAGCAAAAACCCTTGTTTAAAAATGTCAAGTTGTAATTTTACAGGTGTTTATGTCCTGGACTAGTTTTTGAACTTTAGTGACATTGGTAGGCGGATTTTGTTACCTTCGAAGCTAAGCTAACAGCTCTGGCTTCATATTTAGCAGACAAAAATGACAGTGGTATCAATCTTCGCATCTAATTTATATTGAGAAAGTGAATAAGCATATTTCCCCAAATGTTGAATTATTCCTTTAACATTTTCTGAAGCTATCTTGGAAGAATGAACTGAAAATGTGGAGTTTGTCTGCACTGAGAAGCTGGCGCGAGCATGCTGCATTATTAACGCTAGCTTTGAACACAGAGAAAAATTAAGGGCAAGAAAATCAGCAACTTTGAAGAAACACCTAATAATTATGCAGCAAATGAAGAGCCCTAATTTGAGGCCAGATTTATTGTTGGTCATAGGTGCAGTGAATCGTCTTGTTTGAGGAGCAGTGCCATCACAGAATGCAGTACATGAGAGATGCTGTGGTAAACCGACTTGGCAGCAGAGGCAGAGCAGCTGCATTGGAAAGCTAGAGTGTGAAGTTGGACGCTGAGGGTTTATAGCAAAGTCAACTTAACACTACAGAGTGAATTAAGCGTGTGTGGGCAGAACTCAAAGCAGGCTGTGAAGGCAGCTGTCTGAGGCAGCGGTGGGAGCTGGTGAGTGGCTGTGGTTAGAGGGGAAGGCACACTGACTGAGGCAGAAAGTCCCTTTAACCCCAACACCATTAAGCTACCACCACCACCTCTTTCAGGCTTATCTCCATGGAATACATTTCTAATAATCTAATTCATTTTAACATTTGAACTGGGCTTCTGCATTTCACTAAAAAGGATTTTTACATCTTGTCCTGAACAACACATTCCAAATCTCTGAGCATCGGACATCCACACCTGCACTGAAAATGTCTATTATGCATCTCCTGTGGCGGGAGGAAAGTGTACTGTCAGCGTTACATATTTTTACTTTCTGCCTATCCCTCGCTACATCTTTACATTTCCCATATGTGCGTCATGACTGAATTGTGTGGGAACTGCATAAAATTTTGGTCACAATGCAAGACCGAACCCCCTGGGATGTGACCTCAAGTCAGAATACAAAACTAGAAAAAGCTGGCGTGAGAGCCTCGAGAGCTGCAAGCTGCTCCATGACTGGAAACAGAAATCACATTGACATGATAAATGTAGGCATAATGTAATTTTAGCAATTTCACTTGAGTGTCCAACAGATCTTTGAAATTCAGATCTTTTACCAAAATAACAGTCTTGACAGTTTTATATAGTTTTCCTGTTGTGCACTGATGAAAAGAAACACCTGCACAAGCCACAAATTAATTTAAATAGATGAGGTTCAGACCCCACTCAGATCTCTGTCAGGTCAACATGTTTAAAGTCACCATATGCATATATAAACATAAAGTATATGTTTATACCAATAGGCTTATAGGCTTTATGATGACAGATGTAATTAACTAACCAACCCACCCACGGTGCCAGAAAAAGCTAAAACCATCTGTGAATGCATCACAAAAGGCAATGTCCTTCATTCTGCAGGGCTTTGCTTTTGTCACTGCGGCTGATAAGAAGCCACAGCTCGAGTGAAAGAGTTTCAGGTGGACTCCTCAGGGCACTGCCGGCAGTGCGGGATTTATTCACATTATGCTTCAGCCACACGTAGCCTTTAAAAACACCAAAGAGATTTTAGGGTTTTTTTTGGGAAAGGATTAAAACACATCTTCCCTGAAAATAACACAAATGCTAATCTAAGCTTGTAAGCATGCCAGGTGAGGAATAATCTTAAAGTGGAGCAAAGGCTCATGGGAATTTCATAGTTTTAGAGGTATCTTGTCTTGAACTGAAATGTGGGGCTAGTGGATATTTTGGTGCTGGATCCAAACTTTGTAAGTCAATTGCCCCTCACATCTGCACACTGGACTTCATTACAGAATTCAAAAGCCATCTTCTTAAATTAGCTTACTCACTTTTGGTCTCATTCATGAAATGTTTATAAATCTGTGAGTAGATCTGCGTATAAAAAAAACGACACTGGATTCATGAACACATCGGTGGCATGTGTGCATGTTCATAAATGCCAATCAATTGTAAACTGACAGCGCGCTTCCGCTAGTCAGCAATTAGCATGCATCCCCCATGAATAGATATGTGT